ACAAATCCTGTGTCTGCCCCCCCTGCCCCCCCCGACACACACACACATCTGTTTCCTCTAATCTGATTGGTCTGTTCTCTACCTGTGTACAGTCAGACCGTCTGTTGTCTCTACAGTCGGACTAGTTACAGACAACACAGATTAAATATATTGTGATAAAAACTGCTGACTTGACAAAAACATAAATCTCCAACAGATGGTGGGTTCAACTTCCTGAAGACCAGACCTGGACCAGGACCAGGACCAGGACCAGGACCAGGACCAGGACCAGGACCAGGACCAGGACCTGGACCTGGACCTGGACCTGATGGTAGATACAGCTACAAACACAACAATGTTCCATGACTGTGGATGACTGAACTATGACTGTTGTTTGTGGAGACACATGGTCAGAGACGAGGACAGTGTGTGTGTGTGTGTGTGTGTGTGTGTGTGTGTGTGTGTGTGTGTGTGTGTCTGACCTGCGGAAGGTTGGAGAAGCGATGTCCGGGTACTTGGAGCCCGGCTGCCTCAGACCCGACTGGCCTGTGGAGGTGGGACTGGACTTGGGGGAGGCTGCCTGGTCCTGCTCCGACCCCCCCACCTTCTCCTTGTCCGTCTGGTTGACCGTGATTGGACTGGAGCGGTCCGAGGTCACTTTAGCATCCCTGCGTTTCGCGCCCGTCTGCGTGGCCACGGCGCCCCCTGCTGATTTGCTGCTGACGTTTGAGTCGACGCTGCTGGAGCTGGAACGATTCCCGCCTCGTCCCGCCGCCCCCCCGCTGGAGGATTTGGCCGGTCGGGGCAGGGAGCGGTACTGGAGGGTGACCTTGGAGCCCCCGCAGCCCAGGAGAACGCCGTCGTCCTGTGGATGTGAGCCGTCTAAGCTGGTCTTCCGTGCCCCCCCGATGCCTTTGCCCAGTGCGGCCGAGGACTTGGGCACCTTCCCCAGCGTGGCTGAGCCGCTGGTCAGCGTCGCCCCACTGGACGTGATTAGAGCGCCACCTGGAATCTTCTTGTACCCAAACGAGCCAGTGGTGGGGGGGCGTGCGATCCCAGAGGGAGGCTTCTTACCCTCATCTCCGCTGCTCTTCCCGGCGTCCGAGGGCGAACGCTGGATGGAAGCCGAGCCCTTTGGAGGAGCTTTGACCTTTTCTGTAGCCTTAGCATCATCGGTCTTCCCTGCTGATCAACAAACAAACAAACAAACAAACAAACAAACAAACAACCAGAGTCAACATCATCTGATCATTTCATCAAACTCACTCCTGCTTTGATTGTCTCACTCCATCGTTTGCTCTCACCTGGTGATTTGAGGGCTGCAGATCGTTTCCTCTCACCTGGTGATTTGAGGGCTGCAGAAGCTGTTTTGGTCCTGGGGGGCGTGATGCCCACCTGGGCCGTCATGCCCCTCCTCCAGGAGCCGGTCTGAGACATCTGGGCCAGTGTGGCAGCCTTCTGGCCCGCGTCCTCGTACTGGGCCTGGGCCTGTGAGGACGTGGCAGATGATGAAGACTTCCAGCGTGAAGCTCCAGTGCTGGGGTCCAGACCCGGGTCCAGCTCCTCCTCCACCTTCTTCAGATCCTCAGCTCCGACCCAACTGCTGCTCACCTCCTGCTCTGCATGTTTGGATCTGCTCCCTCTCTGAGACTGGGTCAAAGGACACGTCACTGTGTACTCTACTGTGTACTCTACTGTGTACAGGGTACTACTGTATATCTGTGTACTCACCGGTGCCCCCTTGCTCTTGCGTGATGTACTGACAGCAGGATACGCAGGTGTGTTTATGTCGTCTGTACTGATGTTGTCCAACGTGTCGCTCAGGCCGCTGCTCACTGAACTGCTGTCGTCCCAACTGTAGAGCAGAGAGGGGGGAAAGGTCAAAGGTCAGTGCTTCAGTTTAGGTCGTCAGAATATTAATGAGGATAATAATTAGCGATGATGTCATAACTCTTCTGTGGTCGTGTTTGCAAAATATTAATGAAAGATTTCAGTGAACAGTGGACCACGTCGGTCCAGGAACCAGGTCTTGACCCACAGCAGGATCAGAACAAAGACAAAGAAGTCGTTGTTAATGCAGTCGTTATCATGGAGTCTGACGTACTGTGAACCCACAACGACCTGACCCTGACCATCATCATC